TTCCAACGCTTTGCTAAAACGAAACGGTGGTGGCACCTACCTGTCACTTTGCGTTCCACACCTTATCACCTCTGAGACAGGCGCGCACACCTGTCTCTGAGTCACGCGCTCCGTTTTCCAAGAAAACTGCCAGATGGCGCTCATGTCTCACGTGTGACGTGACTTGACGTGCTGGTTCGCCTCCGCTGCACGCTCGAGGCACTCTAACGCAGCGACTCCAGATTACCATTCACCGATTTTCCTGCGCAGAACATCAAATAAACGTTTTGTTCACTCTCTCTTCACACATAGGATTAACGCCTTTTGATGACAGTTGCAGATTACATGCAGATACGGGGCCATTTTTTTTAGTAACACTAATACCGTAAGAAGTTTTCCGGATAGTAATTCTTGGTGTAAATTAAATTGTAGGTGGGGATAGAGCCTGATTCCTGAGAAAGAGCAATGATTTGATGGATAAAAAGGATGCATAATAAATGATAAGTGGCATATTCTAGGCTTTATTTGCTGTCCAAGGTGTAAAAATGAGAAATTTAGCTTCGGAACGACGGACCTCACGTGTTCTATTAGCGTACCATCTTTGTATTGGTATTTACAAGCTCACTGCCGAAGCTTATTGCCTAACGAATTGATTTGCGCAAAAGTTTCTCTAACCCTAAAGAACGAATGGTGTTACAGGAGTTTGTCTTTCGTCCCGACGACAGCGCTGCAAACCACGCAGGCAGGGATTAAGGTGGCTCGATTTGTCCGGCTCTTCTGCCCCAACACCAACGCGTTTTCAACACCATCCCCGCGCTAGCCACTGCGCTCCGTCTGACACTTTAAAACCAGTACGCCTACCCACCGAAGAAACGGCGGCGTGGATTAGGTCAAGAGGTGTCTCCACCCTGGAAGCGGTGGCACTGGCATCGGTGCACTCATGGGATGAAGGAGTTATGCCAGCGCGTGTTACGACCGTGAACTCGCGTAAGCAAACGTGATCGCAGTTGTGCTACCTTTGCGCGAGTATGGCTTATTGGGCAGAAAGTAGGAATGAACTTTGTTCATAGGTGATGGGCATGACAATGTTCCCAGGCTAGTCTATCGTCCATTGCCGGACCCATTTCTTATCAATGTTAGCAGACTACGGAGCGCCGTGCCAGCACGTGGCGGCGGCCCGTGGAAGGAAGCGCATCCAAACGCTCCCTTTCTTGTTTTTATTTTTAAAGTGCGGAGCACTTCAAGGGGCCAGGCTGTCGTATGCTGTCGTGGTCACTTGGCGTAACTCTTCATGTGTAGCATATTGAGCATGCGCCAAGGAGAAGTTCCTTCCTCTTCTTCGAGCGCCTAGATGACGATAAGTGAGCCTTCTTCCTCTTGATGATCACTTATAACCAGCAGCAATAAAACAACTAGTACGCTTGGCGTAACGCAGACAAAACACGAAAAAATAGAAAAAAATTCAAGCACTAAATAGAAAGGTTGAAAAGGGCAAAATACGCAGAATAACAGAAGTAGTAAGAAAGAGAAAGAAATACACAAGTAGAGAGGATGAAATAAGTAAAAATGAAGAGAGAAAAAAGAAAGAAAAAAAGGAAACAAAGAGAGAATGAAGTAAAGAGAAAACCGAAGAGAACCAAAGAAGGCTGCCCAGGTTCGCACATCCTTCAGGCTTGCCACTCCCAGTAATGAGAAGCTGCCCTAATTTTTATGCCGACTAATGACCAACAACCTGCGATGTGCATTTCAGTGTCAAATAACTGGCGTCAACAACTCCCAAGAGAGTGGGGAGTAGGCACAGGAATTTGTGCGAAAAAAAAACGGCAGATCCCACGTATAGTGGGAATCAATGATGTGCAAAGCACGAATGAGCAATGTTGATATGTCACTTTAAAATCAGCCCAACGCTACGAGGTGGACGTAAATTTTCCCATACATGACATCCATGTGATGTTTATCGTGTTTGGACGTGTCATTTACCTTCATCGTCCATTCACGTCCCGTAATACCAAATTTCGTATATGCGAAGCTAGCGAAATGGCCGCTAGGGCACCATGAGCATGGCAAGTAGTCATGTTTTACATGACACGCATCTCATGGTTATCCTGTTTGCATCAGTCACATACTTTCGTCATCCATTCACGTCCCGTAATACCAAACTTAGTATATGTGAAGCTAGCGAAACGACCGCTAGCGCGCCATGAGCCTGGCGTGTAGTCATGGCTTACATAACATGCATGTCATGATTTTCATGTTAGGGTCTGTCCCTTATGTTCGCCATGCAGTCATGCCATACCATACCAATTTCGCAATATGTCATGCGAACGAAACCACCGCAGGAGCAGCAAGATCATGAAATGTAAATCATGACATTTATGACATACATGTTATGGTTTTCATGTTATGACTAGTCACTTGTGCTTGTCATGTCATAATTGTATCATACCAATTTGGTATCGATACGATTATCGAAATGGCCAGGAGAGCTAAATGTCGTCGTCAGCTAGATAGATAGATAGATAGATAGATAGATAGATAGATAGATAGATAGATAGATAGATAGATAGATAGATAGATAGATAGATAGATAGATAGATAGATAGATAGATACGGTCAAAGTCGCTGAAGTTCACTAAGAAATGCTTCGCATTTAAAAAGATCGCCTGAAAGGAGGATACCATCGCTTTCCGCTTCTAAAGTCTTATTGCCACGCATGACTGCAATGTTTGGCTGAGATAGTCACAGTATGTGTCTGCTATTCGCGGGATGTGCTCTTTCAGCAAGTCCGAAGGGTCGTGTGTGACTCATTTAGGTGTTGTTATTACGTTTCTTAGGTAATTATCTGTCATCAGAGATGGTGTAATCGGCTTATAAAATGCATTTCGGTTTAGCCACTTTGGAAGCTAGTTACTGACAGAAGGAAATTCAGAAGATCCCACGCGTTGTGGGAATTGATTTTAGTCAACGAGTCGTTTACTTGGAGCCAAGTGTTACTAGGTGGATCGACGCATTTTGTAAATTAAGAATGGTTTTGTGTTTACCTTAAAAGATAGCTCGTGGTCTGGCGTAACATTTTCTCTCAGGTTACAGCAAGGACGTCATCACGACAAAGTGCACACTACGATCTGCACATTACATAAGTAGTGGTTATCGTCGTGTTCCAGCAACGCTTGAATGTATCTCGCCAAGTCACAGGACTACACAATGCTTATCATATTGTTATAAAAACGGATAACAGATGATTCTGCTACATATGACCTTGACGCGACATGACGCTTTTGTAGGGTGTTTTTCCGAAGAACTTTGAAGGGCTGACGTGGCTCTGTGGTAGAACACTTGACTTCCATGCAGAACGCCTTGTTTTGATTCCGGCTTTGGCCCGTGAATGTTTTTCTTTGTTCCCGCCACAATTTTCCGCTTATCGCCGACGCCGAATCATTTGTCGGCATCGGTGCCAACGCTGGCGAAGCAGGCTTACACGGTTTAGTGAAACAAGCGCTTCATGCAATAGAGTTAAGAATTTCACGCTATATTCTCGCTGTCCCTGGTATATACTGCTAATCAAATGTGGCACACACCAGCACACCATGAAGCGTCTTATGTGGGTAGGTGTCACACGGTACTGGCGGGAAGGGTTTCATAACGTATACGTGGTATAAAGGAGTAAATTGAACCTTTATTTCAGAGAAGACGGCTCTCGGCCGTAGTTGGGAATTACGCAAAGAAGGTGTATCAACGAATTACCACGTACTAATATTAGTTTATTATGTTTACGCTGTTTACATGGTACAAAGTTTAAGTTTTTATATCATGGCGTGTGTGCTGGGTTCGTCCTATCCTCATGGCCTGATGTGCCAGTTTCAGTACATATCAAATTTAGCAGTAAACCATAAGGGCGCCTTGATGTAGGCGCCTAGGCGGGCGGACGAATGGACAGACAGACAGACAGACAGACAGACAGACAGACAGACAGACAGACAGACAGACAGACAGACAGACAGACAGACAGACAGACAGACAGACAGACAGACAGACAGACAGACAGACAGACAGACAGACAGACAGACAGACGACAGACAGACGACAGACAGACAGACAGACAGACAGACAGACAGACAGACAGACAGACAGACAGACAGACAGACAGACAGACAGACAGACAGACAGACAGACAGACAGTCACTTTGATAGATAGATAGATAGATAGATAGATAGATAGATAGATAGATAGATAGATAGATAGATAGACAGATAGATAGATAGATAGATAGATAGATAGATAGATATGGTCAAAATGCCGTTTGTTTTGTAAGAAATGATTCACATTTAATTTAAAATATAAACAGACCCAGAATGGAGCCTTCTCGGACATCGACGTTTATTTTCTCATGGATTACGTGCCATAGAGGCATATGATTTAATCAAAATCTTAATTGAAATCACGGACAATATTTAGGAAGCGGCCTTCAGGGAACGCTAGATTTAAAAAAATGAGTAGGGACAGTGTCATGATTGATCGTACTGCAACCTTCAGTAAACTCTAAAGAGAACAACAAGAAAAGCGGGACACTAATATTACTTATAGCCAAAAAATACGTTAAAAGAAGCACATAAAAATATATAGCCTAATGTACACTCATGAGAGCACATAACATCTGTGAAATGCATGAAAGTGATATTAATCATCCTAGGCTACGTTACACAAAATAAGCATACCACGACATCCTCTAATAGAACCCACAAATCCACCAGACCCACTTTCTTCCAACGGATCACAAACATTTATTTCCAACAAAGCAGCTTCTGATCACTACTGGCAAAAAAGCGGCTAAACTTTATTTACAAGTACACGTGTAGACAGTTGGTAGTCGGCTATTCAGTTGGATCACTGCTGTGTATGTTTCTGCGTGTGTCGCTGCACAGTTGTAGTTTACTACGAAAGGTGAAGTAACTATAGCCCCAACAAAGTGACTCATTTTCTAAGTGAATTTTACAAAGGATGATTTTCGCTTTGTTTCCAGATGGTGCTGCCTATGGTTTCTAGCAACCCTGGAGGGAGGGAGATTCTTCGAGGTCCCACGAAGCCTGTAATCAAGAACTACTTCACAACTGACCGGACGAAAGGTGCAGTAGTTATCAGCTCCACTGTATGGCAGCGCCTGTGGCTCGACGCACTCAGTCTCACGATACGCTTCCGCATATTATCAGAATATACTTAGGTTCGCACTGATGCGCATTCTTGATAGTCAGCGCTTGGCCCTGTCCGTTGTTCTGTGTCTTTGCTATTGGCTCTGTCTTGCAGTCGTGAATTATTCGAGACGTACGCGATGCGCAAGCCGCGTTATTGAAGCATCTGTGCATCTGGTTCCTCACACACTCATCTCCTTGATTAATATGGGTGGTTTAACGTCCGAAAACCATCATATGATTATGAGAGATGCCGTAGTGGAGGGCTTCGGAAATATCGACCACCTGGAGTTCTTTAACGTGCACCCAAATCTGAGCACACGGGCCTACAACATTTCCGCCTCCATCGGAAATGCAGCCGCCGCAGTCGGGATTTGAACCCGCGACCTGCGGGTCAGCAGCCGAGTACATTAGCCACTAGACCACCGCGGCGGGGCGACACTCATCTCCTCTTGTGCCAATTATGTGTACACTACAGAAGCTCAACGCATGACCATGAGAGCGGCTGGAAGAAGGTGGTCACATAGATAGATAGATAGATAGATAGATAGATAGATAGATAGATAGATAGATAGATAGATAGATAGATAAAAAAGAAAGAAAGAAAGAAAGAAAGAAAGAAAAAAAAGGAAGGAAAGAAAGAAAGAAAGAAATGGTCAAACAAAGTGCTTTCGGTTCAATTAAAAAATGCTTGGCATTTAAAAGGGCCACTCAGAAAGGGACAAAGAGCTGTGGGGCGCCACCCAGCTGGAGGCTTCATTGCGGAGAGATACGCTTCCCCTCCACAAAACGTTGGCGCTTCTTTCGTGTTGCCAGCGCGAACTCGGGTCTCAGACCACTACTACCCACTCACCTTTTCCTACCTGGTAGCATGGAATACGAAAACGGCAACACTTTCTACGAAGGAGACACCGCTGTCTTCGTGGACGTGAGCTGTTAGGTTGTCGTCACGACCAGGTAGCGTTTTAAGGTGGAGCCGTGATCACAATGAATGCGCCGAAAAGACCCAGCCTCCAAGATGCCTTTGAACGTATTCGAACACCTTTGAATTGAAATAACAATCTGCAGCCTGAGGGAGCTTACGGCAAGAATTGCGGGCATTGAGACGAGCGAGAGCGGATGAGCGTCTTCAAGTGGCATATGTGTATTCAGGCAGCGTTTCGACGAGAATGGCTTGCTGGGACGACTGCGGTGGTAGATGGTAGGGAAGGTGGAACGTAGTCGGTAGGTAGCGAGAGAGCTGGTTCTTTAGAAGAGGTGGTGCTCCACAGACTTCGCATTGGGGCAGCGCTCATAGCACTGGCAATGGCCACACACTAAGACCTGAGCACAGCAGTTCTGCGCCTCTTATGAATTCCCATGCTGCTTCTGTGAGGCACGGATCCGGGTTAAGCAAAGGTAACCACAAAACCACACGATACACAGAAAGAAAAATTGATTCTCCTAGTGTTATACGACTTGGTGTTATCTATGTGTTCCGCGGGGTTTCATTGTTACCTTTGCTAAATTAACTTTGTGTTGTCTCTTTATGTACCCGCGTAGTTTTGCTCTTTATCTACACTCAGAGCGGTAAGAGAGTTCCAGCAAGTCTGCGGGAGTAAACGCTTGTCGCACATTTGACTCCATGGATTATCTAGGCGCTGAGAACTCTCTTCTCCCTCGACGGAGTTCTGGTACTCTGGCTAACGAGAGTAAAGAAGCTCTTGACAGAGTAAAGCCACACTTCTGAAATGAAGTACATGCACTCTCTGCAGGATTTAAAGCACGCTTTCCGGCTGTAGTTACGCTACTCTCAGAGAGTCGCACAATGCTGGATCAATTAATGTGCATTATAAGCCCGCTCCAAGAGTTGAAGCATTGCTGCTTCTAGGACCAGCGAAAAAAACAAACTCTTGTGCGTTTAATACAATGTAATGCTCATTGAGCGTGACTGAAACATTATATATACGAATGCACAGCTCAAATTTATGTTAAGTGGTAGTGGAATTTCCATAGAAGCACACATGTCAACAAGGTGGCGACTGGTTGCAACTGTCGCCATCTACGTATCATGGGGACAACCAACAACAAGAAGCAAACTTATGAATATAAGATCACAGCCTCAAGCGCAAATGACGTTACGCTTTTGCTCTACACGGCAGGAAACTAGAACATTCTATGCGTGTGGAGGACCCTTTGCTGGTCTCCATGTATCGCCGACTGGCGGGGCGCTTTTGCCTAGCTAGATAAGCGCAAACAATTGGTTCTCTCGCTATTAGATACACATCCGCATTATTTCGGACAAAAGAGTAGCTAGATAGATAACAGTGTCTTGCGAAATATTCTGATATATTTATACATATACGGGAAAAGTATTTCACTACTGCAATATAAATACATTTTCTAAATGTATCTGGATACAGGAACTCGAAAGTATCTGTGGGATACCACTGCATCGCGATACTGCCCAGCCCTGTGCCACAAGTCTTTTCACGGGTACATATGGCCAGCCCAGTCATTCGGTGTAGTTAGAAGGCAGAAGTTTCACTCTGCTGTATACCCAGTTTTACAACCTGGCGCAAAATAATCACTCTTTCGCCGAGGTTTTCCCATCTAACTCGGCGTTACATTAATCACGCCACCGAAAATACCACGCACAAGCGAATGCAACCGTCAGTGTCTGTTGTAATAATGCACGTTGCCGTACTGAGGGAGAAGAGAGAGATATAGGTTTACTTACAGAAAGGCAAAGAGGCCGGCCTGAGCGATAGCTTGCCTGCTACTGTACTCTGTGGGAGGGGAAAAGAAAGATAGAGAGGTGAGTATTTGAAATTCTTTCTAGCTGCGACAAATTTTATGGAAGCAACTGGACTATATGCCGTACTGAGGCTTCAGGAGATAGGCACAGAGGCGCCACCCCTCAGCGCACGAAGATTTTCATGCGTTTCATCTCGCCACCGCCGCCGCTTGCTTTCGCTCTCCGCGTGTCCCACTACCGCTGCCTTTCTTTCTTTCTTTCTTTCTTTCTTTCTTTCTTTCTTTCTTTCTTTATTCTTTCTTTCTTTCTTTCTTTCTTTCTTTCTTTCTTTCTTTCTTCTTTCTTCTTCTTTCTTTCTTTCTTTCTTTCTTTCTTCATTTATTTATTTATTATTTATTTATTTATTATTTATTTATTTATTTACCCGCAGGGCTTTACAGCATTGTAGAGGGGAGGGGCAAAAAGCAAAACATACACGTAATAAGTCAGCCCACGCACAAAAACTACAAAAGCTTCATAATAAGAAAACGAGCAAAAGCGGGACGGGCAAAAGCGAACGGGCAAAAAGCAAACATGCCGTAATAAGCCAGGCAACGCAAAAAAGATGCAAAAGATTCAATAATAAGAAAACGAGAAGAAAAAAAAAAGAGAATGCGGTGTGAAATACAAGTTACGAATACGATGAGGAATTATCGCATGCGCAACATGAAATTCAATTTACAGGGAAGATGTCAAGGCCTGACGGAACGCGTCAGGTTCAGTAATGCTGGCGGTTGATGCTGACAGAAGATTCCAGTCGCGACATGTGTTAGGAAGGAAAGATTGGGAAAAGGTGACGGTGTTACTTCGAGGAATATGCACTTTGTGGGGGGTGATCTATGCGGGATGATATGAAAGATGCAGGCTGTAATAAGCGCGATTTCAGAACCTGATTGTGATAGTATATTTTTTGGAACGCGCAAAGGCGAGCGAGTTTTCTACGCATGACAAGCGGAGGGAGATTAAGCCTGACCTTCATGGCAGTTACACTAGATGTTCGATTATAGCTGCAAAGAATGAAACGTGATGACCGGTTTTGGATTGCCTCTAATTTGTTAACGAGTGTTATGTGGCCAGGATCCCATACACCTGCGGCGTACTCCAGTAGAGGACGGATGTAGGTGATGTACAGCTGTTTCTTTAAAAAAGTCGGCGCAACAGGAAAGTTTCGTTTTAAGTAACCGAGCATGCGATTAGACTTGGATGTGACGTGATTAATGTGGTCGGACCATGATAGCGAGTTAGTAATGTGAACACCAAGATACTTATAAGACCAGACATATTCAAGAGGGGTTGCGTTCAGGCTAAGGAATAGTTATCGATAGATGTGTGGTTAGGTGAAACTCTCATTGCTTTACATTTAGAAATGTTAAGTTCCATTTTCCAAAGGTTACACCAATGTAAAATGTTGTTTAGGTCTGCTTGTAAGGTTTCGTTGTCGTTATGATCAGTAATTGTACGGTAAATGACACAATCGTCAGTGAAGAGGCAAATAGGGGAGGATATGTTATTAGGCAAGTCAATAATATAAATTAAAAATAGTAGGGGGCCTAAAACAGAACCTTGAGATATGTCTGAACGCACGGGCACTTCAGAGGAATCAATATCGTTAGTGCAAACAAACTGTGTGCGGTTAGAAAGAAATTCTTTTATCCAGTCAAGTAATAAAGGGTCTATGCGCAAGCAATGTAATTTTAGTAGGAGCAGTTCATGGTTAACCTTGTCAAAAGCTTTGACGAAATCTAGGAAAATACAAATAATAGTCACACCTGAGTCAAGTGCAGCGTGGAGATTATTAGTAAATAGTATTAGTTGTGTTTCGCAAGAGAAAAATTTGCGGAAACCATGCTGAGAGTTATGAAAGAGGTTATTTGATTCCAAAATGTTTAACGAGGTTTGAGTAAATTCTGTGCTCCATTAGTTTGCAAGGGACCGATGTGAGAGAAATAGGACGATAATTACGGGGGTTATGTCTTTCACCAGACTTATGAAGTGGGATCACCTTAGCGGTTTTCCAGTCTTTAGGTAGACAGTTATCTTGGAGCGATTTAGTAAAGAGGCAGCCTAAGATAAGGGAACTGTATTCCTTAGTATTCTGAAGAAATTTAGAGTTAATTGAGTCAACTCCACATGACGATGATCGCTTTAGCTTATCAATAAGTGTCGCAATGCCGCTTGTATTAAAGGTAATGGGATCCATAGGAAGAACGTCAAGATTCTGCATGCATGGACGATTGTTAATGATGGAGTCGGAGAAAGAAGAAGCGAACGTTTCATTCAGTAATGAAGCACAGTGAACTTTTGGGACTGGATTACCGAGTTCATCAACAAGGCAAATAGTTGAGTTCTCTTTCGGCTTAAATGTGTTCCAAAACTTTTTTGGATTAGCTTGTAACATTGCTGGTAGTGTGAAGTGAAAGAAATGGTGTTTGGCACTATTGAGAGCGTCATTGTAGTGCTTAGCTGCCGTTTTATAGACAGACCAGCGTTCGGCGCTTTGTAATCGTTTCGCGGCACGAAACAGGCGTGATTTTTTTTTCGAAAACCTTTTAAGGTGCCTAGAATACCAAGGTGCGTTAGAATTACTGTATATAGTTCTTAGAGGGACATGTTGGGCTGTTAGTTCTGCAACCTTTACTTTGAATGACTGCCATAGTATTTGAACGGTTTTGTGAGAATAATCAAAAAAGAAATTCATCGAGAAAAGAGCAGAGACTGGAGTTTATAGCTTCAAAGTCTGCTTTGCTATAGTCTCTTATCTGTTTCAACTGTCTACGTGGGTTTGGTGCAGGAAGGGTAATGGTAAAGTGAAGTACGTCATCATCGCTTAAGCCAGGGGTGTGTGTTACAGAGGAAGCGATATCAGCAACTGATGTTAGTATCAGGTCAAGTAGTGACGCTGTGGTGGGCGTTACACGCGTTGGCCCAGTTACCAACTGAGACAGATTAAAGTCGAGGCATGCGTGAATAAAAGTGATAGCTTCCGCGGATGATGAAATGGAGGAGAGGTAAGGTTCTGGCCACTGAATATGTGGAAAAATGAAATCACCAGCAAGAAAGACGGGCACAGCAGGAAACTTGACAGTGATTTCATTCATCGAGTCATGAAACACCTCAGAAAAACCCCTGGCACAACTTGGAGGACGACAACAGGCACCAAAAATTATTTTCTTGAAATTGATTGTTACACAGCACCAAATTATTTCCAAGCTACTCGCAGTTGAAATTAGAAAACTCTCGAATGTTTCATTTACAGCAATCAAAACACCACCACCAATCCTCTCGTCACGGTCACGTCGGTATACAACAAACTTTTTGTTGCAATGAAACAGCTCGTTGTTTTTTACTTCGTTTGACAACCAAGTTTCACTTAATATAACGACATCTGCATCCGAATCGTTGATTAGAGCACTGAGGCTCTCTTTTTTATTACTAAGGCTGCGAATATTGGTATACAGAAAAGGTATAGGAAACAAGACGCCACCACCCCTCGCGGCATCTTATTTTTTGTGGCTTGCGTTCTACTAGAGCGCGTTAACCTAGGCGAGAGAGGGGCATTCTGACAAGAGCGGGAAGTTGATGCAGGCTTACACATTTTGTCTGAAGGTTCTTCGCGAACATGCTCATACACACTGTCTTCGCCTGGATCGTAAATATAGCACTTACCACCTGCGAGAAGTTTGTTGTGGGTTAACTTAGTGGTTATGTTAAGTGTTTTGCTGAACTCACTTAGTTTTTTTCCGGGCAGTGCGCGTAGCGAGTGAATAGTCTTGCTTTATACTTAGTTTAGTTCCAGAAAGCAGAGAACGCTTTGAGAAAACTAAATCTTTACTTTTATCTGCAGCAAACTTAGCAATAATGGGTCTGTTACTCCCTGCTTTGTATCGTCCCAACCTATGGGCACGTACAATACTATCTGACGAAAGCTGCAGCTGTAGTCTATCCGATGCAAGCGCGATAATTTTTGCTGATGATCGCTCCCAGTTTTCCAGGGGATCATCTTCAATGCCAAAGAACAGCAGGTTGTCCCGCCTAGAATGATCTTCAGCATCTTCAAGTCTAGCACGCAATGTGGTTAGTTCTTTTTCCATTGTAGTTACACATTCACGTGTGCGGCAGACGTCTCCCTGGAATCCCTCGAAACAAGCTCTTTGTTGTTCCACTGACTGGAAGCGCTCCTTAAAGACCGATACAGTGGACACCAAAAAAGTGTGGGCAGCTTTACGGTCGTCTATTGCTTGTGCAATGTTGCTTTGGTTTGCCTCAATTCGAATGCATCTAGCATTTGTTTCTTTCACCATTTTAAGCATTTCATCAGTAGGACCGGGATTTTGCTCGACGTCTCCGCAAAACACCAAAAACAAGACACAGAAAGGTTCAAGCAGGACGCTGGGGCATGGAAGCACAACAACGAATCGGTTGTCTGATCGAAAAGACTTAAAAGGTGGTAATTAACTGCAACTAACTTGCGCAATGATGAACAAGAATTGTGAGTGCCACATTTTGGTTGTGCATCCATGCCCACTGGCGATAAGATCCGTTAGGTGGGCTTTTAAAGGGTCCGGTAGGCGTGTAGTCGATATTGCTGTGGCTGTGACACTCTGGGGGAGGGCGAACTGTGGGAAATTGTACTTGGCATCGCTGTCGGTCCTCAGCAAGAGTGGCTGTGCGCAATGAATACGCCAGCCAGGGGCGTTGCATGAAGATACCTAGTTCCTTATAGTGAACTATATTTATTATTTATTTATTTATTTCGACATACTGCCAATCCCATCAGGGATTTTAGCAGGAAGGGCGTGAACATAAAAATTCGAATAGGTACACAATAAAGACATACATCGCGATAAAGTACAGAATGAAACTAACAGAATCGGATCATTTAACAATTTCAGATCAAAGAGGGCATAAAACATTAGTGTAAAGAGAAGTTGTCAGAAGAAAATAAATGCAGCGACTTGGTTGACACATTGGTTGACACATTGGCATATGCATCAAGAAACACAACGAGAAATCACAGCAATAAGAAACTACCCTACAATATGGCAAAGTATTTCAAGGAAGGGCAAATTTATACACACTGAAAAACAGAAACATGTTCAAGAATCAACAGGGCGATTTCTCTTCACCTGGATTCAGTACTAAAACTTGTATATAACTTGTTATGCAGTAATGTGTGCATCATGATTTGTTGGTGAGAGTGGCGTAGGCCGAACTTTTTTCGGGGAAGCGGGGCCGGGCGGGTTATTCATCTCTCGGTATGCCATGGCGAAAAAAAAAAGTCCAGGGGCGAGGTGAGGAGGCATGAGCCCGGTGTACCACTACCTGGTTGCGCCTCTGGTCGCTGGAGGACGAACACAAGGGACAAAATTAATGCTCATGACATGCATAGCACTTGTTCTTTAGCCCGAGTAACACAAATGACATCATGCAGACATTGTGAAATCGTTGCGGTCGTTAGATCAGAATGATATAAACCTGAATGTAGATACACGCATGAAAACATGTGACAGTGAATGATATTACGCGACATGAGTGCCTTGATTTGCCTCACAGCGAAACAGTGCGATGTACGGAGCTCTTCGCTGACTGCCTCGCGTTACATAGAGTCCTGTGCGTGGAATATGCCAGTTTGCGCGATGGTGTAGATGCTATCTTTGTCGCCCCTAAAAATCTGCCAAAGCTTTCTCCAGTGCTCAATTTGATGCCAGGAACAAAGCAGAGTGGTATTTTCTGTATGCGGGAAATATTTGATTAATGACACACTGTAGTCAAGTGGAGATAAACACGGGAGTGTGAATATGTTATGCTTTGAATGTTTCACGCAGTGGTGCTGACTTGTGAGCCGGAGCGCTTTTTGGTGCGCATCAACTTCACACAGCCGTTCCGAGGCGTCGTTCACGCTGGCGACAAACGCGACAACTGCCGCATCCGGGGCAATGGGTCACACTTCTACACACTGCCTGTGCCTCTCAATGACTGCAGCACAGCGCACAACGTAAGTGGCGCCCAGACTCCTGAGCTTTTAGAGAGTGTGGCGTTGTAATGCTGTTCACTAAGCAAGGTCACTTTCCTGCTGTGTTCACCCTTGTAAAGAAGCTGCTATAACGACGAAAACCACCTTAAAACCAGCTATAGCATGGTAAAGACCAAGAATAATGGTGTTTTGTCTATTTTATGACATTCTTTATACCGCTTTAATTATTTGGAAATTGCCATGTCAACTCGCGCAGTATTGAGAGCTCATTTACGCAAAACAGCAGTTGGACTTCGAAAGTTTTCGCACCGGTAAGATCCAGATTAATCCTTGTGAACTTACCTAGTTAATTAGTAAAACTTAGTAGGGGGCTAATTGACACCCGTTTCTATTCTGTCTCGAATCCTTCCTTGGTGGCAAGAATCTTTTTTTTATATCTCATTGATCTTTCATAGCATGTACCATACACAACAAGGTTTTAGCATTAGAAGGGACAATGGAATTTGCCATGGACGAACCGCAAATAAAGACCCTCATTCATGCCCATCTGCATGACATCGCCACACCACCATACCGGACACATCATCATTGAATAGTGTATCAATCTACTAGACAGTTCAACTGAGTGAAACAAAAGCACTTTATATATGCACGTATGCGCACACTTTACACTCGGTGTCTTAACAGCTTAAATTTATAAGTGAGCTTGAAAAACGCAACCTAAACCCACAAGGAAGACGCTAAATATATAAAGAAATAAAAGACCCGCCTGCGTAGTTCAGTATTGTACAAATTATTTATAACGATAGCTCCTAAAAGGAAAGGAGAAAAATTATAAACGTCAACCAAGCCAGACAGCCCATCAGCTTAGGAAGGAATTTTGTGCAGTGGATCACAATTACGTGGTTAATGAAGTATCAGAACAGTCTGCCGAGTACAACAAAACCCTTCATATAACGTCCGCATACCACGAGAAGACATTCGACACGATGGAGATACAGCAGTTCCGGAGGCATTTTGTCAACAAGGAGTACTTTGAACATGCTACAGAAACGTATAGCCAATATACGTATACTAAGATCGCAAAGCTAGTAGGCTCAATAAAAAGCAGGAAGATTCTAAGAAAGTGGCCCATCCAGCAAATGAAATTGTTGCATTAGTGCCGACTGCTTGTCCAGAAAAAGTTATTCGAACAGCTACATTGAGGAGAAAATAGTAAAAAAAAAAGAGTAAAGAAGAATGTCTCAGCAAATCACAGTTTGCGGAATTAGCACTTTTCAGCAATGGCGTAGCTAGAGGGGCACACACCAGGCCCACTCCACCCCTCACCCTCCCTCGAAAGAAACGTTTTTTTCCTATGCCCCTGCTTTTCAGTAGTGAGAGCACAAAATTGCAATATATGAATGATGACTCTAATCAAAAAAGTATTGAAGTAGCGCTAAAAATGAACTTCCTTAAGACAAGCTAATTGATTGATAGCCTTGTCAAAAGAAAAAAAATCGTGTTTGGCAACGAGCCCTTGGCGTCTGTACAAAAGTATATATACCTTCGTTAACTGAACTTAGACGATGAAACAGCTCAGCAAAGAACACTAAGACGACACGTACAAACGCAATAACGACTGGTTGTTAATCAGCGTCGTCTCTGTCTCCTCTCATGTTCGTATTGTTTCTTGCCCTATTCCATTTTCTAAATTGAGTTGACCGAGGTCTATACAGGGTGTCACAGGTAATTCTAGCCAGAGCTTAAAAATATGCCGGCCCACTCGAGGACCGTGTGACCAAAATCATGTTGCTATTTCCTAGAGTACGTCACACTGTTTTTGCATTTTCATTTACTGCTTAGTTTCGCAATATCAATTAACCAACTTGATGTAGTGCCAGCGCTAACTTTGCGGCTATTCCTCGTCTTGAAAGCGCAGTGTAATTTGGCAGGTCTTATTCCCTCTGTTTCGTATGTTCAAGCATTGTCGCTGTTTCATGATTTTTGTGATGTTGGTTTTCCTTGTGGTGAAACAGCGCAGGTGACGGAACGAAGAATATACCGTGGACACACATACGCCGAATACACACCGAACACAGCGCTGCCTTTAGCGCTGCATCCTGGATATTCTTTGTCCCGTCACTCGCGCCATTTCGCCAGAATGTTGATGAACCAACAAGCACACCCAGAAACCCTTGCGTCTAATACTCCTATTGCCATTCTGCTTTCGTAAGCTTCTTTGTTTCATCAACCTCACGTTTTCTTGCTCGCTTTAGGCAACACATCTCCACACGTACGAGACCTGCAAAGCAGCTGTTTAGTCTAACCTAAACGGACCAGGCGCAAAGTTGTTGAGTTTCTTTGTTTATTACATATATATATATATATATATATATATATATATATATATATATATATCTATATATATATATATATATATATATATATATATATATATATATATATATATTATATACGTGGGAAAAATAAGTGCCCCACCACGGTGGTCTAATGGCTAAGGTACTCGGCTGCTGACCCGCAAGGCGCGGGTTCAAATCCCGGCTGCGGCGGCTGCATTTCCGATGGAGGCGGAAATGTTGTAGGCCCGTGTGCTTCAGATTTGGGTGCACGTTAAAGAACCCCAGGTGGTCTAAATTTCCGGAGCCCTCCACTACGGCGTCTCTCATAATCATATAGTGGTTTTGGGACGTTAAACCCCACATATCAATCAAAATAAGTATACGCCTCTAAAAAACGTTTTATTGGTGACGTTTCGATCGGTGACCTATCTTCATCAGACAAAATTTAGTAAGCTCCGACGCGCTTTTATGCCATCGTCCAGCCGAGAGAGAGAAAGAAAAAAAGAGAGAGAAAAAAAAGAAAAAGAAAAATATGCATATACCAGTGGGCCAACTACCCATCATGCACTGATAAGCAGCCGAACGGCCACGTGTGCGTACTACGCATACCGCGTGCATTAATAAAAAACGTGCATTTTTGAAATGCACGTGCTATGCGAGCATTATATATATATATATATATATATATATATATATATATATATATATATATATATATATATATATATATATATATCGAACGCGTAATTCGAAGGTCGTAGGTTCGATTCCTGCTTACAGTTGGTAATTTTTTCATCCACTTTTCTTTCTTCTTATTTACATTCCATTAATGTTAATAACGTCCCCTGTACATTCCTTGGCATTACTGTCTGTTATATCTCATTATTATTGTGTTAAAAACACGGAAAAAACGAGCCCTTAGGTATACACTTCTTTCCCTTATATATATATATAATATATATATATATATATATATATATATATATATATATATATATATATATATATCTATATATATATATATACTATGTTCGAGCACTCGTGCTACGCAACTGAAAGCACGGATCTATTCATTAGGGGAAAAAAAAGTGAGAAGTAGTAAAGCTTATTAACGACATTTTTGCACTGGGAGATCGGGAGCAGCCGCCGAAATTCTTGAGCGAGTACTCATATTGCATGCCGCCAAATTTGCAGTGGAACACGCAAATTCTCCTGGAGAGATCGCACCGGAAGCTCTTTGTCGTCAGCTATACCAGTCGCGGGCACTATTCGTGCTTCGTTCCTATAAGTTTCTACGGCAACAGCAGCAAACGCAGCTACCGATCCTTTGTGTAACTTGAGCAGCGTTGCACCGTGCCACTTATTTCGGTAGTTTCATCGCAAATGTCCGGTAATGCAATCGCGAGATGGTGCCTTCATAAATATAAGTGGGACAATGTTTTCACACTGTAAAATCTGTCACGAGTCAAGAGAACTTATGTGTCGCACTTTTTTCCAGAGTGGCTTGAATTTTAGGAAGTTTGTTTTATGTTCTTCTTGTTTGATTAGGTGAAGAACAACGTCGACTGGTCGCGCAGGCAGTCAAAAAGCTCGGCCTTTAGTTTGTGGCTGAAAATAAAAGTGTATTACTACTACTACTACTACACTTTTAAAAATTTGTAAAAATGTAGCAACTGCAAGCAAACAGGTAGTAACTGCAGCGCTTACGGCTTTTCTTGGACCGTTACTATCCTTTTGCTACCTGTTTGCTACCTACATTAGTTAACATTTATTAGCTGAAACCGTTAACTTTTGCGACCTGTTTCCTACCTAGGTTAGTAAACAGTAACCGGAATGAAATAAGTAGTAACTGTAGCTGTTACTACGTTTGTTCCCCTGTCACTACCTTTTTGCCACCAAGCTGTTGACTATCTAATAAAAAATTTTGTGCGTATCTGATTCTGATAATTTATTATTATTTTTTTTTTTATTTGAAACAAAAACCGCAGCGCCACTTAGGCATTATTGCGGGGGGCACAGAGCCTCATAAAATGAATCCGCAGTCTTGCGGCCAACTACATCGGCTGGTAACGTGTTCCATTCAACAATGGATTGCGGAAAAAAGAATGCTTAAAAAGATCCGTTCTGGGGTGTATGGCCGTACTTTAATTTGTGATCATGACGGGAGGATTGATAATACGCTTTTTTTAATAATCTGAAGCATTAATGCCCGTTTTATTGTTATATATCGAATAAAATAGTTTTAATCTTAGATTACGTCTTCGATCTTGTAAGTATTGCCAATTAAGTTCTCTTTTCATACAACGGGAGCTTTCAGTTCGGCCATATTTTCCCAGAACAAATCTTGCTGCCATCGACTGAATGCGCTCTAATTCATGAATATGTATTTTGTTAAACGGATCCCACACAGGACAGGCGTATTCTAGTATTGGTCTCACATAGGCATAATATGCGGCCTGTTTAACCTCCTTGGTTACATGTTTAAGATTTCTTGTAAAAAGCCTAGGGCTTTTCCCGCTCTACTTACAACATTGCCAATGTGCTCAGACCATCCCCCATCCTCAGAAAGCGTGACACCCAAATACTTATATTTGTGTTCATACCTAATAACTTCATTGTTTAATATGTACTGATTTGTAAATCTATTAACCTTTTTGGTGAAACTGACGTGAACACATTTATTCGTGTTTAATACCATGTCATTATTTTACACCATGCCTCCACGTGATTAAGGTCATCCATAAGAGAAATCGTCTCAAAGTATCATCATTAAACAGAAAAATGACACAGAAGATATCCATAGATCAGGAAAACATTTTGTCTTAAATTACGCAACCGAGATATGTAAAATTCATTCCGATATTGTCGAAACGGAGAAGTACAAGTTAACGAACCATAAGCACTGCTACACGCGTTGTAATAGACAATTACAATAAGCTTAGTAAATTACAGCAATAGACAATTACAATAAACTTAGTAAATTGCAGCAAATTAATAAGACTGGTTGATCAAAATAAGCAGAAGGTCACAATTAGCCACGAGGACGGTCACATTTAGTCCACTGTGGCGGGTCTGCAAATATTATCATTATTTTGGTGCGTCCAACCCCAAGAACGATCATGACCATTTCACCGCTGATATACTAGCCGTGTGAAGCATTGAACAACGTTGAGAATGAGTTCGGTACCTTGTTTAGGCCACTGTACATAGCGTATTTTTGTGGCCCTTTTGTAATCAATAGATATGACATATAATTTTTTATAAGTAAAGCTAATTTAAGGTCTTGTGCTACTTCATCAAACACACGTACTTAGGTAGTATAATGTAGTGCTATAGGTTCACATTTGTTTTAATTCATCCCGAAAAACAAGGGCTGTCCTGTGCCGGACATGCAGCTGCAAATTAGGCGCTGTATATTCTTAACGGTTACTTCTTTGTGTATGCGTAAAAAATAGTGAACTTGCTAGGCCCATGTATTCTTCGCAATTGTGACACACCACGCCACATCACCCGAGGTTGTGTAGTAATAAAACATTCATTAACCAGCATTAGCAATGAATAAATAATACGCCAAAATGAATGAACAGGGTGTCATCGGTTACTACTTTTTTTCTTGAAACCTTTAAAAGTTACTACCCCTGAGTGGTAACGGCTAGGTTAGTAACAGTTACTAAATGCTGGTAGTAACAGCAAGGGTAGTAACTGTTACTGCCCTCGTCGTTACTAACTGCGCTTACTACCAGGGTTGTAACATATGTGACAAAGCATTACTACCCCTAAGTTAGCAAGTACTCCTACTTCTTTTCTAAGAGTGTACTACTAGTATGTAAATACCACAGCCACTTTTTATATCAAAAGTATAGGCGAACCCACAAAGGGTTAATAAAGAAGTGAAGGGGCGCGCGCTCGCACCCACGGGCACTTTTTTTTTTGCTCTTCGTCTTCGATGGCCTTAAAGATGATATTTTACAGTTACTATATCAATCTGCTATTCGAAAAATTTTATGTAGCCACTGTTTCAGCCACTTTTTTATTCAATTTTTGTTTTTCTAGCCATTCCTTCTCTTAGTGGCTCTCTGTTGTTGTCAAATACCCTGATTCTATTTGTATCATTCAAATGGCGATTCATTATTCTTCCAACTACTTTTGCAGGACGCGACTGGCAGCTTCACGAACAGCCTGACGATCCGGTTTCACCCGTCACTGGAGCTCGAAGGGGACGAGATTAAAACTCTAGTCTGCAAATTCACCACAGGCGACGTGAGCCTGGGGTGATAGAGGGAAACACTGTTGACGCATGCGCAGCACTCAGCTCAACACCACGTGGTGCAAATAGTCTGTCATGCACTAAGTCACCATTACTACCCTTTACCAGAAACCTGCTCGAGACACTCCGCTGCTTGAATAACAAGTTGTCTTAAACAACGCACTTTTTAAGATGGTTTGCTTCAAGGCAAACAAATCAAAGCTTGAGAAATCTGTCACACAAGGTAGCGTGCTGTACAGCAGCGCTAACAATAAAAAAATTGAAAGAATAAAAAAAAACAAATAATGCAATGTGCAACGCCCTGCAACCCATTAAATGTGTTTTACAGTCACATTGTCGTGTAGAACATATTGCTAGAAAAACAAAGAAGATCATGATAAGTGAGCAATATTTTTCGAGCGTGAAAATGTGCTGTTCCAAAACTGATGCCAGAGTTTAAAATAAGCAGAACATATGCTAAAATGATGCAAACACATGCTTATAGCACTGCGCTGAAACGCGAATTTAGTATTTTATATTTATTTTGGAATCAACAGCTTTGGTTCTTATTTTTTGGCCTCAATTTTTACTAACGGCACCTGCGAGTATGTATAATTTGATAGTGTCACCTTTTCGTTTTTGATTTTGTTACGAATGGCAGGAGCTAGTTTTTATTTTGAGAAGACTCAAATGTTGACATGTGCCGTGTATACCTGCTTCCATGCACTGCTTGGACGAATGTTTTCAAGAATATTGTCATTATCGTGCATTTTTTCAGTGTAATAGACTACCGCGAAGATCAGCAGTTCTTAACAATTCCTTTTCGTGCTTTTAGCGTTTGGCCAGTGGTCGGAGTGATCGTCCGCCCACGCCGTGAGCGTAACATAACGCATGGCTGCACAACGCGCTTCGTGCAGATAATTTTCAACGGCCTTGGTTACAGCTTTATTGAAGCACGAGTTTGATTTTTTTACCTATTTGTGATTGATTTCACATCACGGTTTATGTCTCTTACTCTGCAAACGTATGCTTCAAATTTGTATTATGTTCATTGAGTCCAGTATATTGCTGATTTTTTTTCTCTTTAGCTTGCTTGCTTGTATTTACCTTGTTTTCCTTTTTTCGTATATGTACCAAAGTTAGCTGTGGCTTCTCCACCCTTTTGCTCCTAATTGAAGAAGCATTGCCAAATGATTGACAAATAAAATGAATGTCTGGAAAACGTTACAAGGTACCACGTGTTTTCCCTTATACTTAAAATTACAGACCATTTTCACTCGGCCAGGAGGAGCGATCAGGCAACTCGCGTTTTCCTCCGTTATGACGTGTGGAAATGGCTAAATGTGCATGCGCGCACGGAGTGCGCGTGGCCATGCAAAAACGAGTGTTTGCGCAGTTGCGCAAGCCAGTGGTTTGCCGGATCAGAAGCAGCGCTAAGCAGCATGGCCCTTTTTGCAAGCTAGGCCCGTAGCCACAGAGGGGGTTTTTCTCCTTAGAAAATTTAGATGTTGCAGAGTGTTTTACCGAGAATAAATAACGAAAGTAGATATATTTCATGTCCTCCACCCCGGAAAAATTTGCTGTCTATGGGCTCGCTATGTGCTGTAGTAGACTCTACTACAGCACATAGCGGGCCCGTAGACTCTTGTTGTCTGTTTGAAACAGGCAACATGGCTAGGTTTGTGCAGTATGTACCCTGGTAAGTAATGCGAAATTTAAACGGAAACCAACAGGTTTACAATACAACTCCTCTGAACCGATGAAGGAACAGAACACTATCCAATGAAGTGTTAAATAACAGCTGGATGTACTGTGTGGTGACCTGCTCAGTGGAGCAGTACGCCAAAGAACAAACAAAAAAGCTGCGCGTAGCAGTGCGTTTGTTAGACGCTGACTTCGAAATGTAACTTTTATGGGATTACCAGATTGGGGAGCGGGTGCTGACATGCGTGGACAAAAAATGGAGTATGTTTTTTTTTGTCAATTAAGTGAAATTTCGCTTTTTGTATTCATACGTTCGGCTTTCAAGCAATCCTGGCTCCATGCTTTAGCGCGACCATGGCTTCTGTAGAAAAAACTACATTCGTGTCATGAGAAGAAAATTTTATTTACATGGTGCTCGGGCTCTGTTGATAATGTCTTATATATATATATATATATATATATATATATATATATATATATATATATATATATATATATATATATATATATATATATATATATATATATATATATATATTATCTCTGACGAAGAGCAGTTCACCGGTCGAAACCGTTGGTAATAAAAAATTAAGACAACCGCTAACTTCTGTTTCTTCTATATATATATATATATGAGATATAACAGACAGTAATGCCAAGGAATGTACAGGGGGAGTTTATTAGAACCAATGTATATAAGAAGAAAGAAGAAAGAAAAGTGGATGAAAAAATTACCAGCTGTGAGCAGGAATCGAACCTACGACCTTCGAATAACGCGTTCGAGCATGGAACGCGTTATTCAAAGGTTGTAGGTTCGATTCCTGCTCACGGCTGGTTATTTCTTCATCCACTCTTCTTTCTTCTTATATACATTGGTTCTAATAAACTCCCCCTGTACATTCCTTGGCATTACTGTCTGTTATATACCCGCAGGTCGCGGGTTCGATTCCCGGCTGCGGCGGCAGCATTTCCGATGGAGGCGGAAATGTTGTAGGCCCGTGTGCTCAGATTTGGGCGCACGTTAAAGAACCCCACGTGGTCGAAATTTCCGGAGCTCTCCACTACGGCGTCTCTCATAATCATATGGTGGTTTTGGGACGTTAAACCCCACAAATCAATCAACTCTCTGTTATATCTCATTTTAAAACACGGAAACACGAGCCCTTAGGTATACACTTCTCTCCCTTATATATATATAATATATATATATATATATATATATTTATATATATATATATATATATATATATATATATATATATATATATATATATGAGATATAACAGACAGTAATGCCAAGGAATGTACAGGGGAAGTTATTAGAACCAATGGAATGTATATAAGAAGAAAGAAGAGAGGAAAGTGGATGAAAAAATTACCAGCTGTGGGCAGGAATCGAACCTACGACCTTCGAATAACGCGTTCGATGCTCTAACCACTGAGCTATCACAGCGGCCGTCCCTCCATCCACTTTTTGGGGTTTATATGTGAATTTAGAAGTAGGAGTGACAGTCAGCGCCATCTATAAGCCAAACAACGAGTGTGAAAACACTCTTATTCGGATGTTTGGCGCCACGTAGCACGTGAACTTATAATGAGCGGGCAGCTGATTAATTGTCCCTCTTATACAACCTAAACACACCAAGTCTGCCAGTACGAGACCCTCGTTCATGGAAATAAGGGAGAGAAGTGTATACCTAAAGGCTCGTATTTCCGTGTTTTAACACAATATTAATGAGATATAACAGACAGTAATGCCAAGGAATGTACAGGGGAAGTTATTAGAACCAATGGAATGTATATAAGAAGAAAGAAGAGAGAAAAGTGGATGAAAAAATTACCAGCTGTGGGCAGGAATCGAACCTACGACCTTCGAATAACGCGTTCGATGCTCTAACCACTGAGCTATCACAGCGGCCGTCCCTCCATGCACTTTTTGGGGTTTATATGTGAATTTAGAAGTAGGAGTGACAGTCAGCGCCATCTATAAGCCAAACAACGAGTGTGAAAACACTCTTATTCGCATGTTTGGCGCCACGTAGCACATGAACTTATAATGAGCGGGCAGCTGATTAATTGTCCCTCTTATACAACCTAAACACACCAAGTCTGCCAGTACGAGACCCTCGTTCAATGAAATAAGGCAGAGAAGTGTATACCTAAAGGCTCGTATTTCCGTGTTTTAACACAATATTAATGAGATATAACAGACAGTAATGCCAAGGAATGTACAGGGGAAGTTATTAGAACCAATGGAATGTAAATAAGAAGAAAGAAGAGAGAAAAGTGGATGAAAAAATTACCAGCTGTGAGCAGGAATCGAACCTACGACCTCTTCTTTCTTCTTATTTACATTCCATTGGTTCTAATAACTTCCCCTGTACATTCCTTGGCATTACTGTCTGTTATATCTCATTAATATTGTGTTAAAACACGGAAATACGAGCCTTTAGGTATACACTTCTCTCCCTTATTTCATTGAACGAGGGTCTCGTACTGGCAGACTTGGTGTGTTTAGGTTGTATAAGAGGGACAATTAATCAGCTGCCCGCTCATTATAAGTTCACGTGCTACGTGGCGCCAAACATGCGAATAAGAGTGTTTTCACACTCGTTGTTTGGCTTATAGATGGCGCTGACTGTCACTCCTACTTCTAAATTCACATATAAACCCCAAAAAGTGGATGGAGGGACGGCCGCTGTGATAGCTCAGTGGTTAGAGCATCGAACGCGTTATTCGAAGGTCGTAGGTTCGATTCCTGCTCACAGCTGGTAATTTTTTCATCCACTTTTCTCTCTTCTTTCTTCTTATTTACATTCCATTGGTTCTAATAACTTCCCCTGTACTTTCCTTGGCATTACTGTCTGTTATATCTCATTAATATTGTGTTAAAACACGGAAATACGAGCCTTTAGGTATACCACTTCTCTCCCTTATATATTTATATATATATATATATATATATATATATATATATATATACATATATATATATATATATATATATATATATATATATATATATATATATATATATATATATGTGTGTGTGTGTGTGTGTGTGTGTTTCCTATTTGGCGCGATATCTATTCGATATTCATTAAAACGTAAGCCTGATCATGCCGTCTATAAGGTGCTTATTAATTTGAATGAAACCTTGTAAAGAATACCTCGAGAAATAGCATATTATGCATATTTTTATTTATTATTCTATCGTTTTAATTAAGAACTCCTCTTCAATATTTGGTAAACCGTGCCGTTGATCAAAATGACCTGTTTTGAGCTACAATAGATGACGAACCAGATGTCACTAACTTCTTCAACAGTTCGTGATAAGTACAAAAACTCAAACGCCGGTATAGTTATAGCATAAACGATTGTACCGTTTTTTTTGGGGCTTTTGGGATGTTAAACCCCACATATCAATCAATCTTTTTGGGTTCATCTGCTTGAGTAGCGTCAACACGAACCCGAGCCAAAGGGGAAGGTGCTGTCACCCCGCTCCGGCTGAAAGCAATGCGTAGGTGAGTCATGCCCAGTGAAAGGAAAATTTTGGGTGTAGAGCCGATACCGGGTAATTGTACCTTTAAGGATCCCTAGTGGGGTGACACACCCTTTTGACCCTCGCTTCACGTGGACGACACTCCTTGGCTGGCTTACCGAGAAAAATATGAGCGGTTGCCTTTTACTATCCCCTTCTGCCACCTTTTTCTTAACAATCTCCTTTTTGTGCCGTGCCGCCTTCTGTCCCACTCTTACCCCATTCTTTAGGTTCTTGGTTTAAAATGACGTGTATGCCTTCTAGCAGGTTCTCGGTCTGCGAGCGCTTGTAGAGGCTATGCATGACTCGCATTTTGCATCTTTACGTTGTAACTTTTCAGTACGTTCTTTCGTTGAACTGCGTTGTGGAAGGACACCATTGTGGCCGAAAGAACAAAAGTGCATATGTCAGTTACCTCTTGTCCCCAGCTGAATGAATGCGAAGCATTTCCTAGTGAACAGCAAAAACTTTGCGCGTTCTATCTATCTATCTATCTATCTATCTATCTATCTATCTATCTATCTATCTATCTATCTATCTATCTATCTATCTATCTATCTATCTATCTATCTATCTATCTATCTATCTATCTATCTATCTATCTATCTATCTATCTATCTATCTATCTATCTATCTATCTATCTATCTATCTATCTATCTATCTATCTATCTATCTATCTATCTATCTATCTATTTCCTGTACCACAGAACATTTCATGTATCACAGAATTGCTGTTACACTATTGGGGAAGAATGTAATCTCTATACAATGAAACTTGACAAGAAAGAGTTCGTACCAAAATGTGTTATACACTGTTACAAAAACATGTATATATTTAACGCACTTTCAAAATTATCATGTCCATCATTGCATGTATGTATTATCTAGTGTCATCTCTTCAAAAGCAGCAGCACCAATGAATGGGCGAGATTCTGTATTCATTTTTAAGACACGTAATCAAGCTTTATAGTCATAAATTGT